ACATCAATATGAAATAGATAGTTAAGAAAATAAAGAAATATAAGAAATATAATAAAATAATGAAAATAAATATATTAGAGAAATATGTAAAATTAGAATCAGAGAAATCAGAGAAACGGTAGAAAGTTGAGAATTGTGATGACATGATTACCATTCGTCAATTAGGTTTGATACAGTATTGTTCATCATAATAAGACTATCACTAATAATGCCATTCACGTCTAAAAATACAGGAGAGGCGTATTATTTATTTATTTCAGATATTCTATGTCATATTCTAAACAACCCTTCATTATTTAACAGAATGTATTTTAAACCAGGCTAGAAAGTCAAAAAAAAGAGCTTTGTATGGAAATCTATGGAAGGAATCTGACAGGTTTAGATAAGCATCTATAATAATCACTCAAGGTAATTTTTAAATAAAAATTATAGAAAGTAAATTGTTTTCTGTCAACAAATATTTACTAATTTTCCATTATAGAAGTATACTATTACAGTGATTTCATAGTATATAGAGAATCCAGAGAATCGAAAAAGTCTGGTCATATACTGGCAATTTACAGTAAGATAGTAAGCTAAAGATCAAGATATAATGCGTTTTATTATTCAAATATTTGTCAAAAACTTACAGAGTATCAATTGAAGTGAAAGATCTTAAGCAGATGAAGTTTAATTTCTAGATCGAGAAACAATCATTAATATTGAACCGCAAGCAATTGTTAAATGAATACTAATCGATATTCTTTATGAAGACACCATAACTAATCCTAATTTGATTAAAATTAAGAAAAATTTCTAGAAGCATAACGGACACTAAAAGTTAAGAGATATCAAGTATTCTTATCAATATCCTTCAGAATTCGCAGCATTAAAAGAACCAAGAATATATCTTCCAATCCTCAAGTTATTTATTGATATGTACTATAATGACTTCAAGACATTTCATAACATCTATCACTCATTAGATGACATTTACATTCAAATAGGTAACATGCCACTTAGTGAAAGAATTCATCTTAAGAACTATTTCATGCTAGGCTTTGTTTCTTTCAGTGGTTCTTTGATGAATTTATCAAGCCATTTATTATAGAGATGAAGAAATTGGAAATCAGAAAAATTATGAATATCTAAGATCAAATAGAAAATGCTAGACTTGCAACTTAGTCTCTCGCCATCATCTTCAAATAAATAAACAGTTTGAAAAAATTTCTAAAGCATCAACAATAACAGAATGAAAAGCAATGGCAGCCATGTATAAACTGCATTTACAACCATTGATATTGAACAAATTAAAAAGAGAAAGATATCTCAATCACCACAAAATGTTTAACATCTTACAATACTAAGATTTCTTAAGATAACAATTGAAGCACTTTCACCAGAAGAAACATCAGATTCCTATTAGTTTAAAAGTCTTTCTAAACTCTAAAAGCTTGAAGAAAATTACCAAATCTGATTTCACATATAAACAGTTTTATAATGTCAGATTGTTTGCAATTAATCATGATATTTCCATTTATTCTTAATAGGTTCTTGAAGCATACATACTTAAATAACCAGAATTAGCTTTGTTTTAATGTTAAAAGGATTTACTTGAAGTGATTATGCTGTAAAACCTTGGTTGAAATGTTGGGTATTGGTAGCAAAAATGATGGTAATAGTATTTTAAGGTTCCTTTTCGAAAGAAGGTTATGACAAATTGTGTGATTGTTTGAATAATGAACGAAAACTTTTATCTTAGGTAATATTATTTGATCTATAAGATTAATTATTAAGCATATTATACGCAAGTAAATGAAAATATGAAAGAAACAAAAAAAGGAAACTTGAATATTTTTTAAGGTTTAGTTATTTATTTCATTTATTACATTTTACTACTAATGATATTGAACAAATATTTATTAATAATATATCGCAAATAAATCAAAAAGAGAATAAGAAATGTAATCATGTAATGACAATATTATTTACATTCTAATTATACGATAATACACACTGAAAACATTCAATCAGATAATAATAATGCACTTGGAGGAGTATAGGAAAAATGGTACAGTACAGTTCAGCTAATTAGTATAGTATGATTTTGCAGATCAGAATGAATTTTCAAATCATAATTGTACTTTACTGATTTTATAAGATTATTGAGACCAGTATGTTATAATTATATAAGAGCTTTGCTATTAAAAATGGGTCCTAGAGACATTTTAACAAAAAATGAGATTTTTGATTCATATCATAGTATACTAAATAAAGTTCATTTGGCTAAATTTTTAGAGTCTATTAGCTTATTAATAAAGCAAGCAATTAAGGCTAACAAAAATGCTTAAAATTTGTATAACATTATTCAAAAAATTTAAAATTAGATTTTTATGTAAATTTTAGAAATAATCGACATATTTTAGAAAAATAATTATTATATAGTATCGCCTTATTAATTGATTTGACCCAATATATCTATTTTTAATATTTTTTATTAGATAAGTATGTTTATTGTAACGTAACTATTTTTTGATCATCATTTAACTCAAAATCAATTTATAGTCTCAGAACTCACTTTTAATAGCAAAACTTCAAATATTTGCACTATACTGATCAAACAATTCGTACTGATTTTCCTTTTCAATTTATTTAATTTTTATTATTTCTTTTTTTCTTTGAAAACAATTTTTTTTTATTAAGAAACGTTTTAACAATCTTAGTATAGAATGCAAAATCAATTACCACTATTAATGTCATTAAAATCATTAACATAAGATATATCAAAAATCAGAATATATAGAAAACTATACAGTACAGTACTTTATCTGAATATATGATTGTATTGTACTGGTCTCAATAATATTATAAAACCAGTACGATATGATTATGATTTGAAAATTCATTTTGATCTGCAAAACTATACTGAACTGATCAGCTGAAACGTACTATACCAGTTTTTCTCCCCCTTACTCAGAGTCCATTGAATATTAGCATATATATTTATTTGTTCATTTATTAGTTTATTTATTTATTACATTTATTTATTATAATATTGCATAGCTAATCCTAATTATTTCCTAATTATTTCATTCGTTATATTCAAAGACTTTGAGAATTTACCGAATCTGCATATAAACTTCTACCTATTATTATATGCAAAGAATTACGTGATATTGTTAAATACGAGTATTAGAATGAAAGAGATGGTAAATTGTATATTTAAAAGTATTGTACTAAGATAAATCTAAAAAATTTAGAATTAGATCTATTAAAGCATTACAACATATTTATTTGCTTTACAGTATAACAGTGCAAAATTTTGGCTAAAATATGATTACAAATCAAATGTCAATTAAATGTTCTTGTTTATCATCTCGTCGATCCTGATATCAACTTTATATCCTGAGATAATTAATGTGAAACATTGTAGATTTAAATGTCAATTTTATTTTCAGTGCAATGGGTAACTTTATTGACATGATCATCCTTGCTGATCAATTTATCAACTTTATTTCCTTGATGATGTCATTTATTTTTCATAGATATATTTATTTATTTATTTTATAATTATCAAACATGTATAAATACTTTTATATTTTTATCGAAAAATGATATCAAATAAATCCATCAATTAATACATACTTTAAGAAGAAGTAAGGATAATATTTCACTGGATGAGATTATTACCTTATGATCTTATGAGGTAGAGAACTTACAATTTATTATATTATTAATAAAGTGTATAATTAACCAAGTTAAAACTTATCCTTCACAACCCTTTAACCTATGTATATATATTTATTATTTATTAACTTTGCGTGGTATTGTATTGATATATTGTATTAACTTAAGGTGTAGTCACTGAAACATAATCTCTAAAATATCCAGAAGTTACGCGTACGTAATTGAGAATAATCTTTGACCTTTACTACGAATCTTCATTGTGATTCCCTGAGTTTAGTCTTAGTATTATTAATTTTTGTGAATTTTATTTGAGTTATAAATCGGACGTAACAATGGAGTTTATTAGATGGTGGCATAGATTTATGGATTTTCGCATTGAATAGTGGCTTTATGAATATTTTAAGACATTTGAAGTGCTTGATGAGTGACTGGTTCATTACAAAAGACATGGTAGAAATTAAAGATGATTTAAGTGAAGGTAAATATAATCAATACAGTATTTTTATTCATTTAACACTTTATTACATTTATTAATATTAATTTATATTTATTTAACACTAAACTAATTTAATCATTTTCATATTTACAAAAAGGTATTATTGAGTAAAAAATTGGTAATGATCTAAATTTACTAACTATTTCGCTTAATTGGAATGTATATTGTACAGATTGACATGAATTAATTAATAAATATTTTGAATTAGAAAATTTGTGACACAAACAATTTATCTGCGTTATATAATATATATATATGCATATTCAATATACATATAGAAAAAACTCTCTCCCTATTTTACAATACCAAATTTTCATACGAAAAATAAAAAATTAATTAATAAACCCAATATAAAGAAGGTTTCTTTTGTTTTGCCCCACCTTCTTCACTACGCGAGAGAATCATGATACGTAAAAGCACTGCGAAACAAAAAAATAGTGACTCAAAGTTCATTCCATACGGCGTTTCAAAAGCCTTTAAGGAAGCTGTTAGTTCTACACCAGCTCCTTCGTCTTCTTCAAACTCAACTTCTGTTCCCACCAACCTTGATTTAGAAATTATCCAAGAAGTTTTTAGCTCATTATCAGAAAAAAAATGGAGTTTGAATATTTTGACATATCTAAAATTATTACTCCTAACAAAATTTCACCAGTTATTCCGCTTTCGAATAACAACAACAATAATAACAACAAAGTTGATGATATTCCTGAAAACTCTTAATCGACCAAAAATAGGTCAAAACTTTTAGATTCTGATAAACATCTTGAAGACAATGATATGGAAAAAGACCTTAAAGATTTCACAGTTGTTACCAAGGCTACCCCTTTTGCAGTTGCTAGTCATATCAAGTTTACATCCAAAGAAAAGAACAACAGCAAAATTATTCTCGCTATCAATAATGTTTTTGCTCAAAAAGACGATTTTCGAGAAGTTTCAATTCGTCATGTAAATTTGACGTGTTCTGTAATTGTCTATTTTGCGACATCAGACACAGCTGCCACAGCCTTACACATTACTATTCCTGATCTTAAGATCGACACTTTCTGTGATTTCTCTCAATACAAAGCAGTGTAAAATCAACAATTTCAATATTTAAGGCGCAGCAATATAAAAGTAAATGATCAACAATATACAGTAAAAGTTATAAGAAAAAGTCATATGATAAAAGGAGAAGGATTCATTTTATTAAGAGAAAGAATAATTCTCAGATAAATTACGGACTGAAAAGGAAGATTACACAAGACAGATAAATCACAGAAGAAAATAATTCAGATAAATCAGTTACCAAAGTAAAAAGAATAATTAATTAACCGAACAGAGGGTCCAAAGGAAAAAGGATAATTAATCAACCGAACGGAGGGTCTTATAAAAAGACAGGAAAATATTTGAAAAATAACAAATTGAAGAAGTGAAACGAGATGCAAAAAGGTTACATAAAAGGCACACTCGTTAGGAATAACGAACTAGACCACATAGAAGCTTGTGTAATATAAAGGTTACACATAATATTATAAATGAAACAAAAATCAGAAGAAGAATGGAAGTTAGTAATGATATGAAGTACGGAAGAAAGATAGTACAAAAAAGTAAGAAGGAAAAATTTATTATTAATATATTAAGGAAAACAAGAAGAATTAATATAACGGAAGTTAAAGTAATATAACGAATTCGGAAGTAAGTAAGAATTAATACCCCAGAAGGAAATTAAATAATAAACAGTAAATAGTAAATAGTAAACAAATATAATATGGAATTAGTAATGAACAACAGAAAATTAGAAATAATAGTAAATATAAAAATCATATATAGAAAATCATATAGTAAAAATCATGTAACGAATATTACGAGGTGAATTTTATTATATAAAGGCTTAGGATTCCCTCAAGGAACTAGGTCGTTCAATTTCTCAACAATAAAAAAAAAAAAATTTAATAAATAAACTTTTAACACAAATAAAAATGAATACTTTGTTTGAAATAATTATTTGTCGAACAATAAATTATGGAAATAAATAAAGTTATCTCACTTGTATATAAACTTAAATTTTATAAAAATGTTAATGAAGTAATGCAGAAATAAAACTTAAAAGGAATAATAAAATATGCCAGAAGTTAAAAAATATTTAAACGTAAAGATATGAAGGAAAATAAATAAAAATATTAAAGGAGAAATTAAAGAATAATAAGGAGAAATAATATATTTGTAAAACACATTCGTAAATAATATTCAGAAGATAATCAGAAGATATACTTGAAAGATATTCAGAATAAACACTCAGAAGACATATTCATAAAAGATATTTGGAAATAACATTCGGAATTAATATTCAGAAGATATAATCGGAAGAGATAAATAAATATAATGTTCAAAATAATAAGAATAAAAGAGAAGAAGTACAATAATTAAAGAAAAAAAATAATTTAACTAAAGATTAGACGACAATAACATTAAAAAAAAATTATTAAAGGACATTATCGCTCAACATAAAGGAAAAGATTCTCAGCAATTAAAAATTAATTTGTAAAACAAATCCTCTTGATAACGAGTGGCAGAAACGATCAAGAAGGTACAGGCTATGTTGAAGCTTATCAAACTCAAAAATGCTATACATTTGTAAAACAAGGGTTATGGCAACTACAACATCATACGAATCCAGTCTTTTCTTAACTGATTCTAATGAGAAGTAGTCTGGATAATTGAGCCCTTTGTTTTTACATTAATCGTTTCATTTCTTTTGAATTTTATTAGATAATTTATTATATTCAAAATTTTAGTAGCGGAAATTATTTTTTCTGAAGCATTAAGGTTTCACAATTCTCTTTGAAGACTAGTGAGATGGGATGAATCAGTGATAGGGCCAGAGGCAGTTTTGACTAAGGTTTTAGATATTGTTTTTGCATCTCTTTTACCAAGCTTATTCTGAACAATATGCTGAGCCGTTTCTTTAATAGTCTTCTCAGAACAAGTATTATCGAAGGATACTTGACAGGTGCCTTTAGCATCACATATATTCACTTCTCTAGCCTCTAACCCACCCTTTCTTCTTTAGGGATTACTTGGTTTTTACTTCACCCAATTCTTTTATGAGGAATTAATGCAAATGCTTGTTCTTTGCTAAACTTATATCCTTTTTGGAGGCAATTATGAGTCTGACGCCTTTTTTCTTTATCTACCTTTAGTACACCAGTTATCAAAAACTCAAGTATTTCTGACGTATATTGACTAAGCTCTTCAAGGTTCATTTCATTGATAAGTTTGTGGTCTGTAATGAACTTGGTTGTAATAGCAGACATGAAGTGGTATGTAGATTATAGAGTAGTAATTAGATTAATCTGTGGTAAAGATGCCAGCCGAAACTCCCTCAAAATAATTTCATCATATCCCTTACTATGTTTTTAATATAGTTTTGGCTAATTTCGAGTTTCGGGGTTTCGTCATACCTCTCACTATGTTTTAATATAGTTTCGGCTATTTATTAATTGCCTTTTTTGAGTTTCGTCCCTCATCTTTAATTGCTATTATTATAAGCTTTTATATTATTATTAGAATAAATTGTGATTTAAAATTTCCTATACTTTTTTAGAATGTAAATTTAATCATTATATAATGTTTGAATTTTGTAGAAATTTGATTTTATTGATATTTGTAGATCATTTTCAATTTTTTTACATTTATTATTTTAATAAAAAATATCATTTCGTTAGATTTTTTATGTATTTACATTTTTTTAATTTATTTATTAATTGGTTATAATTCTATATTATAATTGTATTTTAAGATCTTAATCATGAAAAAAAATTTTATTTCTTTTATTTCTTTTATTTGTAATAATACATTATACTTTGTTTGATTTTTTTGTATTATATTTCTTAAATTATTTATTGATTAATATTATTTCTAAGATACAATTATGTTTTAAAATCTTGATCATAAAAAAAAAATATTTCTTTTATTTCCTTATTTGTAATAATATGTTATGCTAATTTATATTTATTTTTTTTATATATGATATTTGTTGTATTATATTTTTTATTATTATTATTGTTTGAAGTGTAGCTGAAAGACATACTGGACAAGTGTGGATGATGCAATATGTATCTGTCATGCTATGTGATCATCCAAACAGTTTTTTTATCTCACATTTGCATTTTAACTGATTGCTTTTTTTACTTATTTACTTTTTTGTTTACACAAAATGTGTTATCATATTTGAAATTTGATGTTTTCTTTTTATTTTTTATTGTAATATTTGATTATTATATTGAAATAATAAAATTTACAAATAAAATGTAAATTGAAATTTTTTTTACAAAAAAAAGATATCTGATTATCTTGAGTTATTAAATGCTTTTAAATTTTTGTGTTACTTATTGTATTTTGTGATATCTTTGTTTTATGCTATGTTTACTTTCAAATTTTGTTGTAAATTAATACTTCAGATATTTCAACAGTTCCTATTTCCTAATTTTTTATAATTTTATTTTTATTGATTATACTCTTATTTTTTGTTATATTAATCATAATCAATTTTATTTTAGTTAAAATACAAATTTCTTTTTTTATATTTTTATTTGATATTTTGTCTTTTTAATTTATTGCTTCTTTTATTATAAACTAAAATCTGAAAAATCACAACTGTATTATAGCTATTCATCTGCTATTCATTATGATAAGTGTATTATTACTCTAATTTTTTCATAATTTAGCAATATATATTCTATATGAAAAATATATAATAATATATAATAAGAATAAAAATCTAGTATTACTAATGCATAGATAATGTATTGTTAATTAAAGTAATTATTTAAAGTATTAATAAAGTAAATACACAAATTATTTATAAATTATATAAAGCAAATATATAGAAAATGCATAGTTTATTTATAGTAAATATACAGTAAATACATAGATCTTTGAATTATATATGTAAATATTTTTATTATTATATTATACACATATCTAATTAAATAGCATTTAAAAAAAATTTTTAAATATTGAATATTTTTGAATTATCATTGTGTTAAATATTATTATGATAAAGAGAATATATTAGATAATCCAATTTATTGTAGTTTAGTATGCTTGAAAATACCTTTAACATGCATATAACTTTTACATAATCGGTAATTTAAATTATCCCCTGATTAGCACCATTTACGTAATTATGCATGCCTACTAGGCGATTGTTTAATATGTATTTATTTATGCATTTCTAGTACATATAAATGGATTACTTTGCAATATTAATAGTAATATTACTAC